GGATCCACTAATTTAGCAAGTACTCAAGCAACTGGACCTGCTTCGAGTCAATTACGAAAACCTGGACAAAGAAAACAAAGCATGTCGAAACCATCGCGGCCTGCTTTACCTTCATTATCCGAGATGCCGCCATTGCCTACAGTCCCGCATTCGTATGCTGCTGCACCAAAATCTATACAAAATTCTCCATCCATGAAACAGTCTTTCAATAAAAATAACGTTTCAGGAATCGCCGCAAGTCAGCAATTGCGTGCTCCGGGAACGCAACCCCAAACCCGTGCACTATCTCCTCCATCAGTTGGCTCTACAAAGCTCTCACCCATTCCTCAAAGATTGCAGGCGCCTGCGGCTGATCAGAGGCCTGCTTCTCCGTCGCTTCTGTTGTTTTCTGTAGGTGATCGAGTAACCGTTGAGACATTGAACATTTCAGGTACTCTAAGATTTCTAGGTCCTATAAATATCAAACCGGGTATGTGGGCCGGCATAGAGATGGATGTTCATGGAACTGGTAAGAATGATGGAAGCATAAGCGGGTAAGTAACTTGTCAAACGCAAGATCAATGAACGAAAAGTATGAAAAATACCGATTATAACATTTTATACGACCAGAAGGGTTGCATCAAAACTATAATGTACCTTCTTTGTGTTTTGGACGAAGACTTCTAATGACCATTCATTGATTATTCCCTAATCAGGGTGTCCTATTTTTCATGTCCACCAAATACTGGTATCTTCGTGCTTGCGTCTAAACTTTCTCGTCCAAAGAATGCAAAAGAGATCCTTGCCCCACCACGTGTGTCTCCATCGACAAGACCTACTTTATCTATACCGCGTCCACCATCCGCACAAAGCAATGCCAGCGATAGGAGTCATATTTCTACTTCAGGAACAACAAAAAATGCACAACACGCTGCTATGGCGGCTTCGCGTATAACAGCGGGTTCGCGCGCATCAAAATATATTGGAGTCACTGCGTCCCAGCTCAAACAAAGATCAATATCAAAACCGGGAATTCTTGGGCCATCTATGCCTACGCTTGACCCAACTAATCGTAACTCGCCACCACCGTCAAAACTTAAATCTGGCCTCGCGCGGCCAAGCGTAGGTAACCTGCGTTCGGGCTCCGGCATCACTCCTCCACGAAGAAGAAGAGATTCATCATCCTCAACCGGGTCTGGAGTTTCCCAATCACAGTCACCAAAGTTAGCGCCGATTGGACAAAGGGTTTCGAGAGCAACAACGCCTAATCAACAACTTTCAGACAATGAGGCGTCTCTGATCTCTGAGGAGATGAGTAATCGTGCTTTACAGGAAAAAATTCAGAAATTTCTTGGTGAATCCGAAACTTCAGACGGACTTCCGCTTAGTATGTGGGATCAGCAATCTCTGCGCATGAAACAACTTGAAATGAAAGTTGAGGTGCTTGAAACAGAAAATGCTACACTCGCACAAGAGAAGAAACAATTGGCTAAGCAGGTGGAAGATTCAGTCAAGGGTCACCATGCACGACCAAGCACTTCATTGTCAATGTTAGCAGAAGAGGACAACATAAGCGATAAAATTTTGCAATTAACTGAATTGATTGCGGAAAAGGACGAACAACTTAAATCGCTAGAAGAATCTTTGAATGATGCTAACAAAAAATCGGAAGATTATTTGGAGCAAATAAAAGGTCTTGAAAGACACTCACAACTGACGCCCGGTTCGAACGTAGGGTCTGCAGCACAAGAAGCTACGGAGCATATTGCTCGGCTGGAGAAAACTATAGAACTTAAATCGGCAGAGATTTCAGAAATGGCCATTAAGAATGAAGTCGCACAAAAAGAATCTAATGAAAAAATACTTAGCTTGCAAGAAAATGTTGATAAACTGAAGGCAGCAGGTCAAGAAACAATTAACATTTACGAACAAAAGGTATCAGCCTTGGAGCAACAAATTGCTGAACTTAAAAAGGCAGGAGCAGAAACGATATTGTTGTACGAAGAAGCCACAGCAAAGGTTGAAGAACGTGATGCGAAGATTGACGAGTTGCAAAAAGAAGCTGAGAAGCTCAGATCAGCTGGTGTCGAGGCAATTGATGTATACGAAAAGATTATCGAAAACTATAAGGCTGAAGAGGAGAAGTACAAGAGCCAGTTGGTCGCAAAAGATGAACTTATGACACTTTTGCGTAAGGACTCGGAGGCATTAAAGACTGTTCAAAGAGAACTTGCTGATGCAAAAGCGCAATTGGAAATGCGCGAAAAACAAGAAACTGGTCTGCGTAACGAATTACATGATATGACTGCCGGTTTGGAACAAATAATGAGAGCAGATGCCAAATCTCGTGAGCGTATTTACGAGTTGGAGGACGAGTTGCGTGAATCGCAAGCTCTTGTAAAACGACAGCAGGAAGAAATTACCATGCTAAAGGACAATATACAGGATTTGATGGCAGCCAATTCGAATGAGGAAATGGAAAAGGTCAAATCTTTCTTCGAGAGTGAAACGAAGCGTCTCGAAGGCGAATTAGACAGTGCAAGGAAATCATTAGCAGATCTTCAAGGAGAGAAGCGAACGGTCAGTGGTGAACTCGACAACTTGAAGAACGAGAAATCACTTCTCGAAAAGAGACTCCAGGATGTAGAGAGTCGAAGATCTCTCCTTGTTGAGGAAGTTGATAGAATAAGAAACACGCAGAAAGATGTTGAAAATGAGAAATCCGAGCTGTCAAAAGAACTTGAGGAATTGAAGTTGAAAATGGTAGAAGCCGAGAATGTAAAGAGCAGTCTATCGCAAGAATTGGATTCGGCCAAGGTAAAATTGGTCGAAGTAAGAGGCGCAGCCGAAAGGGAAATTTCTGACATGCAGGCACAGATAGAAGATTTATTATCAAAAACGCGTGCTTTTGAGCAAACTCGATCTGAACTAGATGCTAAAGTTCAAGAGCTCAACCAACTAAACGAAAGTCACGCTCAATTAAAAGCCGAGAACGAACAGCAAAAGACAACTCTAGAAACCGTACAACGAGAGAGTGCCGAGGAATTAGAATCTTCTCAGCAAGAGATCAAACAATTACGACAAAAGATTAAGGAACTAGCTCTTGCGCAAAAGAACACTTCAGGCTCCGTGCCGCATGAAGTGGAAGAGAAACTTGTCGCATATGAGGAGCAAATAGCTAAGTATGAACACGACAAGAAGGAGATGGAACAACTTGTAAAAGAGTTAACCCGCGAAAATGTAACCGTCAATAGTGAAAATAAAAAGATTCTTTCTGAACAAGAGAAGCTCATGGAAGCACACAAGCAAGTAGAAACTGAATGCTTAAAACTAATGGATGAGCTTGAACGATTACACAGTGAATCACTCAGTGGTCAAGGAATATTATCATTGCCTGCTGCTAACGTCGAAGGTGGATTTGAAATGAATGAGGCAGCCGGTGAACAAGGAGATGAAGTAAGCGACAACGCGGAGAACACTAACCAGTCAGCTGCAACCGGTGGTGATTCGAGTCGGTTGCAACAACTGCTGGCTGAGAAACAATCTCAACTTGAGCGTGTGACATCCATGTATACTTCCGAGATACGTGAATTGCGTCAGAAGAATTCTGAATTAGAACGCGCAAAGCAACGTGAGCTGAGTGGACTGACGAAAGATGTAGCTGAATTGGAATCGTTAATAGAGAGCAAGATATTCCGTGAAGCTGATTTAGAAGAAGAGCTCCAGAAGGAACGTCATGTGGTTAAAAAGCTTGGAGAGGAGGTAGAAGAGTTGAAAGAACAATTGAAAGAACTGCGTAGTTTGAGTGGAGACGGTATTTCTGGCTTATCAGATATGATCGGTGATGGACATACTACACGTGAAATTTACGTGAACGGGAATTCGATCCCGGAAGAATCATCGTCTAATTTATATTGCGAGATATGCGAAGAAGAAGGTCATGATATTATTACATGTAAAGCAGTATTCGGTACCCAGTCTAGCAATAATTCTAGTTTAAATGTTGAGACGACCGATGAGACTCAAAGACCTGTAAGTTATCGCACTTGATATTATCCTTCGATGTTGTTTAGTCGGGTGTATACTGACGTTCACCTTTTCGTTACTTAGTATTGTGAGAATTGTGAAGAGCATGGGCTTCATTGGACTGAAGATTGTCCTAATCAAGATGAGACATTCTAATCATGTCTCTGTTGTATTTATATGTATGATGAATTTACTATACGTTATTTTGATGGTAATCGATTAAAATATAATTTAAATATTTAAATTTTCATAGGTTTAGGATTTGTAACTATTTGCAGGTCAATTTTTAACTTGTAAATTTCATAAGCGATAATAATAGAAACGCTATTTTTTGGTCTCATATTTATTACATTGCAATATATAAATTTCTTTTTATTGATTTAAAAACCAGATGAACATTTGATCACTCAAAATTGCACGTGTGACTGAAATTTAGCAATATAATATAGCTGACTTAATGGCGCAGCCGTGGCTCAATGTCTGAAATTATACATTAAAATTTTAATTGCATTTTAGCCTATTACTATTACTGCTCCTACACTAATATCAGGGCAAAATTTTAAATTGATTAATAATACTGACATAAATGCTAACAATATTTAATATATAGCAGGATTATGATATTAAACCATTAGTATCGAAGAATTAGAGCTCGATTAGAAGTATTTTAATATTAAAGGAAAGGAAATTACACTATATTAATATTACATGAGGCGGCCATTTTCACTTAAAGAAATGTTCAAGTGTGTAAAGTAAGGAAGTAAAATACAGAGATGTGTGTCGTGATACAGTGACATCAAAATATACCTCGGCATTCATTTCAGGCAGTGTATCGTCAATGATCTTCTCCATTCAATATAAACAAATCTGTTAGGAAGCTAAGCCAAAGTTGTACTGGCTGATAAATATAATGATAATGACGGAATGATCATCACCAGTCGAGATCCTTTACAAAAATTCAAAACGATTTTTATGGTTCGCGATCATCCGTCAACCTTTAAGATTCAGGTTGTTTGAATGAAGCTTTGCGCGTTTTTTCTTTTTTGAATGAAGCTTTGCGCGTTTTTCTTTTTTGGGGGGAAAGACTAAATATAAAGCGGAGCAGATCGTGATCCCGCATTTACAGTTTTATTGGCTGCCATACAAATTTGACCAATGGAATCGCGAGAGATCTGCTCCACTTTAGACATGCCCTTTTTTTGGTTAAGGTGGGTGTGCCTGCATGTTTAATCGATAATCGATCACATAACAATTACTATTACGTGGAATCAATCCATTAATATTAACCAATAACGGCTTTGAGATCAAAATCTTGCTGCAAATAAACAAGGGACCGTGCACGTTCTAAACTTGTTATGCTTCTTTTTTTTAGGTTACCTTCACATTGTTCTGAATCTAATCTTGTTACAGTTTTTCCGAAGCCAAATCTTGCTTGAGGATAAGTAGCCAACATGGCTTCTGTGAAAGAACCTGATGACCACTTCCAAGTCGCAGGTGCTTGAATTCCATGCTTTCAGCGCCAACTCGCGAAGACATCATTCGTAATCAAAACTGGTGCATGACTTGACCAAGGAGCATGAATGCAAATGATCCTTCA